TTGAGCTAGATGCAAGCTAATGCTCCAAATCATGGTTTTCGGGGATGCCTGAGCTGCTGATATCTTCAATATCACCTGTCATCATAGCCAACCGACCAGAGAGATTGATCTGGATATGTGAGAACTACTGGTATACTGACAGTTTGGAAACTGGTGCATTCCGTATCGTTTTGGCTTCGACATTGCCTGAAGAAATGTCTTGCCTTCCATTGTCCCCGAATGTGTCCAATACCCTGCCAGCGCAGTTGATGCACTCAAATGATTGGAGCTTTTATTTTCATATTCATTATACGTTAAGCACTGGGTGTGCCGGTGTTGGATGAGTTACCAGTAGGTCGACATGTTCAAGCACAAGCAGCACATTGTCGGCAGACTCAGATTGACAATGGAGACCGCTCATAGGCGAACTAGAATGAATTATCCTCGTTTGCAGTCGATGTCCTCTCGATCAATCTGCAGCAAGTAAACCTTCAGTATCATCCCGCCCCCACAATTATGCTTGGTGGAGTGGCATTGCGGGCTGTGGGACAGCATCGGAATCCGATATGCACCAAGTGCGGTGTGTGTGTTGGTTACAATTGGGAACCCGCAGCAATTGAATGTATGCAGTACTGCGCCAAAGCTATATACCATCCCCAGCTGAATAGCATATAGTATCTTCTGTTGTGTGAATCATCTCTATCCTGATACAGTCAGTTCACCTGCGGACAAGATCTAGCAGGGGAAAGTTATCACTGAATTGTAGATACAATCAGGGATTCAGTCCAGGTGGAGATGTGAGGATTCGAATAGCAGGAAGGCGGGTTGAGCCGTAGGTGTGCACGGATGATAATATGGGGCGAGATGCACTCAAGCAGAAGGGACAACAACCTCATTTTATATTGGTGGTTGCCTGGGGCATACTCCTGGGTGCACCTAACTCCCATATGGATAAATCAAGTGACTCTCAGCTGGTATGATGTCAAACCTAACCATCTATTTTCACTCTATCTTTGCATACTCTACAAGCTGTGACCTGGAGCTCAGTCTGTTGAAAAAGCTTCAGTAGGCCGAGCACACATATGACACATTGCTAGTACCACTTTGAAACGGCCAAGTGTGGGGAGAGCTTACTCTCAGGGTGTGGTATATGCACCAGGGATGGCATCGGGAAATACAATCAAATGAATTGCAATTTGGAGTACGTTCTGCACTGTGCAGTCTATGCCTTTGCTGTCAATTTCTGGTTCAGGGCAAGCAAGTTTCACCTGACAGCTTGGCCACTGAACTCCCTCACCCTCGACCACCACCATGAATAATTTTGACAACTGCATTCTGTTTCTCACACGATATCAAGTGGATATATACCATATCTCAAAGCCATCAATCTTCTAACATCAAGAACTAGTGACATATGTGAGATAATAGAGATACAGATAATCTAGCCCATTGAGAAGAAGAAACTCAGTTACAGCAGAAAAAATATCCCCACTTGAACTCCCTACAACCACAAAGAATACACCCAGATGCACCCCAGCAAATCAAAAAAACATTCCAAACAATGAATCAATTGAATCCCAGACCCAAGCGAACATACATCCACCTGAGCAGCTATTCCGATTCCAACAACATTACTGCCTGAATCGCAGTCTCCCCAATATGTGTTTTCAGAACATTGTATACGTCCTCCTTGCACATCATCAGACGATTCATCAGCCCATGTATCAGTGGTAATTGAATAGTTACATTAACCATATCGTGTGCAGTCACTCTATCATCAAAACCGTGTGGAAATGTGTTGTCAGTCCAGGTGTGAGGCTTACCCCACTGACCCTGTCCCACAATCTGTCCAAATGTTTGCCGTTGCACGTTGAGAACCCATGGTTTCTGAAGACTTAGCACATAACTGGTAGTGTTAGCAACCGTCCCAAACCAGAATGAACAGTCTGGGTTGACGCCGTATTTTGGTAACCCCCAAATTACTGGGTCATTAGACCGGTCCAAAAATGGGTGCAAAATACTTCATATGCAATTATTGAAATCCTGGATTGAATCAACTGAGCTATTCATATTTGTGATTTTGACCATTGCCAATCTTGTTTTAATTACGTACAAAATCATAGGTACAATTTGTTGATTTTGTATCACGACATGGTATTTTGACTTTGTATGTTGAAGGCAGACAGCCAAAGTTGTATTTAATTCTATGCAGTGGTAAATTCCAGTATGTTGGAGTATGTGTCAATCACCACAAATATTTTAGTTTCGACCATATGTATTGTCTCATCATTGCCTACGTTTTATTTATTTTAAACATATCTGACAATCAGACTTGACTTGCAAATTGAACAAACAATATTGCAATCAGCGCAGCATTTGTGTTCCACTCATATACAGTATTATCTGTCTTTTAATTATATATGCTTAAACATGAAACATTCCACAATATTGTCCAACAAATTACAAAATAAATGATATGCCCTATTATGAGGAACAAAAAATCAAGAGAAATGTGAAATACAGAACAATGCTCTACCGTCATGTATTCCCCTTTGCATTTTGTGTTCGCTGCGTATTGACCAGCGCAGAGATGTTAACCAGTATGGTTGGAGTACGTTTCGACTTTCGAACTAGCCTAATAAAGTCTGCGATATTAGGGATGGCATGTACATCTGGCTGTTCTGCCTTATCAATGACATTAGAATCATCAGAAATATTAATATCATTTTCATTGTCAGCCTGAACATTATTTGAATTCTAGTATAGATCGTCCAAGTCACTGTTCCCATAGATCCAATCGTCAGTATCAGAATTAGATCTGGCTGAACATTCATTATCACTTTTGACACAATGGCAGTTGATTCTACGTATTCTTTGAATATTTAGGACTGGGGTTTTACCACCAGGGAGATCGATCTGTGATCAGGAAGGTGGGAGTGGTGATTTTTCAGTCAATTTGAAAGCTGCAACAACATCATTTTTAAAGTCTGACCATGATGCTGTAACTGTCTCTTTAGTATCTGAAGTGTAGCCAATGGCGGTCATTTGATTGTTTTGAGTGTGTGATGCATTCCCGGTTGTCCGTAGGTTTTCACTGCCTGGCGACATCTCCAAAAACTAATGAATCTTTGCCATTCTGTGCAGCGTTTGTTCCTCCGCTTCATTCTTGATTTCAAAATGGTTATTAGATACTGACAATCTATTTGAACTGTTTTATCCGCGAAAAGACCGAGATTGCTTATGGCAAACTGTTATACAACCATGTTTTCTCGAAGTGTTTCACTCATAGTTTTGGACTGCCTCCACCCAATGATATCTTGGCCAAGTGTAAAGCTGTCTTCCACTCCAACACTGTGTGGCATGATTGAGAAGATGTCCCATACGATATTTGCTAGATGACTGTACTTTGAATTAATCTTTTCGTGTTTTTGGCACCAATCGGTTACGTCAGGCGACCAGAATGACCTGCAAATTTCTGTGGAGTCGGAATGATAATCATAACAATTGGGATTAATTTGTCCCCAATTGTTGTGTACCTCGGGTGGTGAATTCAAATAAAGTGTGGTGGCCATGAAAAACGTGCTGCACAATCAGTGGGTCTGGGAGTATATTCCGCCGTGTTTGTGGAGGTATAGTGTTCATCATCATAAGACAAATCATATGAATCAAAAGTCAATTGACCTGGTCCAGACACAGGTATAGGGAAGAAGGAATTGTGATTCAGTACGATATTGGATGTTCTGTTGGTCGTAACTGAATTCTTGGTGCAGTATTCGTACTCCATATATTGTAAAAATTCACCATCATTGTGGGCAGTGATAGCAGACTGATCCTCAGGAATAATATCCATAGCCTGGTCCAACATTCTACATGATCACAACTTCCGAAATGGATCGAAACTTTGTGCTGCAATCAGGAACATTCATGTCTCTGATATCACTTCAGAGTAATATTTGACAGCTTTTGGCATGCAAACTTCCAAACGAAGTACACATCCTCTTTCCACAGAGTTTTTTTCTTTGCCAAAGCTCATATGACACCGTTCATATGATTGAATATGTCATTATAGATTGTCATGACGAGGACCAATGTGTCTGTACGCCATTTGGACTTTCAAAGTTTCCAGTGACGTAATGCCCTCAGCACATCTATTCCCTGTTTAACAATGATCCATTTGTGCTCTGTGGAAATTGGGCACCTCAAATCACTGTAATTCGGGTTTTGGAGCGACTTGCATGTGATCCCCTGCAATGTGTTAGCCTGCTCCATAAAATATGAGTTACATTCCACCAAGTGATTTCATCCATGGTCAGTAGTATGGCAATTTCAACATTGGATTTCTGGTACTTGAGAAACTCATCACATTTTCCAGGAGTCAGAGTGATCAATACAGCAAGAATTCTTTGCTATATCATGAGTCAGTATTCAGAATGTAAGTGTGGATAGCAAGCAGTAACTATCTTTTCAATAATTTTAGCTAATCCAGGCTTCATGGCTGCCACCTTAGAGATTCTTGCATTTACAGACTTCTGCAGCATTTGGGTGTTGGTCAATGCTGCACTCCCATCTACTCCACAATGCTCATCAAGCTCTTTGACTTCCCATGATTTTGTTTGACCTTTCACTCTCAGATTTCTCATCAATGCCCATACACAAAGCTGAATTACATATGCCATGCATTGTATATGGTTTAATAATGCTGACCTGTCAACTCCCAAGATTTCAAGTATAGATTGTAGCTCCCGAGCAATTAAATAGTTGGGTGAAGTTATATCAGTATTATTCCCAGTAATAGACTGTCAGTAAGATTGAAGTATTCAGGAACCTCCTTCAAATGTTCAGCCAGTCGTGCACCTGTGTGATTGCCTATAACGTAGTGTTCTGTGGCAATGGTACAAAATATTGAATCCAAGCAGCCACTAACCTCATCAAATGCAAGCTGTTCTTCGCGTAAGCACTTGTTGCAATCTATATAATATCCAATGACAGACAGTTGGAACATATCAATCCACCCTCATCAAGGGCCAGTAGCTCAGTTGGTACAGCATAAGTCTGGTATAGGAAGGTCCTAGGTTTGACTCCTAGCCAGACCATTCTGTTCAGTGGCTCAACATTGTAGCAACACCTCGTTGGTGAAAAAGTGGATGGCTTGAAAGTGCGCCCCGGTGATAGCACACCAGATGGAATGTGGCTTGAGGGGGAGTGTTGGAACATATCAATCCACACTCTTCAAGGGCCAATGGCTCAGTTGGTAGAGCATCCGTCTATTATAGAAAGGTCCTAAATTTGACTCTGAGCCAGTCTATTCATTTCCGTGGCTCAACACTGACAAAATGGCCAATTAATTGGTTGATATCTATCCATTTAATATTACACTGACTATATTTTCTGTAGGCAGCTGCTTATTGATTGCCTCAATTATTAGGGAGTATTCTCTTTGGCAAATATTACTGAGAGTACTGGCAGAAGGAAGAAGCAGATCATGTTGTACAGAATTGCAGGTTCGTCCTAACTCAAGGTTAATAATAGCATTCCATCGGATATGTGCAAAAACAATTTCTAGCATCAAATAGTGGTTCCAGGTTTCTCGGTTGAATATATGGGTTTTGAGGTCACTATCTGCCAATTGTGGATGTTCTGTCAGTCAAAATCATTAGTATAATTTGTAATTGTTAATCAACTTAGGTTTGATGATAATAACATGCCACTATGACACCATGACTGCCGTTTTTCTTGAGTACGGTTAGAGGTTACTCATGATCAGCTGTATCAGTCAATAGAGTATCATCACAGTCTGTTAGCATTTCCAGCTGTGCTTTATGTCCCTTTGATACAAGGTGTTTCCCCATAGTACTTGTTCCATTCTCAAATGGATTTACAAAAAACTGATGACAGACAATACACATGATGCCAGGGCTGCAATTTGATGCATTTGCACAAAGTATGTAGAATCCCTGAGCTGGTGCATGCCGGAAGATACTCCCTACAATGGTAGCAATTGTTGGAACTTTCATGGAAGTGCAATATTCATCGAAAATCATCTACAATATATCTTCAGTCAAATCCCTAATGATTACACGTTTGGCCTTGAAAGAGTATATCACTTTGAGTGAGGATGTATCAATGCACATTGCAGAAATCATCAAATAATAGTTTGAAGGGAAAATGAGTGGAGAGTTGAAGAGCTTTTCAGTTGAACTGCAGTCAAAAGAATCAATTAAACTATGGATATCTTGATATCTTAAATATCTACCTCCACAGACTGTTTGTATGAATAAATGATAAACATGGAAAACAGTTGGTAAATAATGTCTTGAGTGTGGGCGAAGTATTTTCATGCATAAAATTAGTTGATATAGTTGCTCCATTCCATATCAGCTGCTTCGAACTGCAGTAGCCTTATCTGCACTATGACAATGTGTTCATAGTCTATTAGCACTTAGAATTAGTTGTTAATTCCATATGTATGCCCTGGTTCAAAAAGTTGATGTTTACTATCATCCACAGTGTTGGAACTGATTGGGCTGTTATGTCAGTCCAATATGCGATAACGTTAGCAATATACCCCAATCCCGTAGTGTTGGAGATGTTGTATAACCATAAATGGTTGACATATTGTCCACACTCATCTTTAGTTCTGAACACTGTGTGTATTCTGGGCAAAAGGATCATATATCATTTGAACAGTAGACTTTCAACTGTGTTCAACCGAAATATGACTGGTGATACCGATTAATCGTGATTTAATTTTTCCAAGCTAGGTTGTTGGAGTGCATCAGTTAAAATTGATTTGTCTAAAACACAGTCAAAATTGCAATTGAAGTACTGGAGCTTACCAATATCACACACACTAAAGATGTTGTGCGAACAAAAATTGTCAACCCTTGATGAATGCTCACATTTAGTCCTACAGTCTACATGTCCGATTATCCAAAATCAAATACTATGATCATACCGGGAAGCTGTCATGCAGATTTAATAAGAATATACCCTGCACTACAGAGTAATCGTGATTTAATTTCTCCATCCTTGGTTGCTTGACATGATCAGTAAAACTAAATTTGTCGATAATGGTAGTCAAAACTGCAATCATACACATGGAGCTGACACACTCTGACGCACCAGAAATGTTGTGCCACCAAAAATTGTGGACACTCCATTGACACTCACTTTTTGTGCTGCAGTCAACATGTCTTATTGTGCAGCAACAAGTGATATAATTGTAACAGTGAGCTTTCATGCGTATTGAATACGAATAGTTTGTTCGATACAGATTAATCGTGATTTCATTTTCCCAAGGTTGGTTGCCCTAATGTGTCAGTAGAAATTGATTTGTCAATACATGCAGTCAACACTGGAATTACAGTCACAGAGTTCACACAATCTGATGTGCTAATGATGTTGTGCAACCACAAATCGTACACGCTCTGTTGATATTCACTTTTAGTTCTCCTGTCTACACATTTCATTGTACAACAATAATACATATGATTGTAATGGCAGGCTGTCAGAGTTATTCAATATGAATTTGCCGTGCAATACAGATTAATCGTCATTTAATATCTCCAAGCTTGGTTGCATAAATACATCAGTTACAATTGATTTGTTGATAATGGCCGTCAAAACTGTAATTGAAGTAATGGAGTTCACACAAACTGACACGGTAGAGATGTTGTGCGACCAACAATCGTTGATGCTCTTTTGATGCTCACTTTTGATCTCAACATCTACCGGTCTGATTATTCAAAATTCATAACGATCATTATAATGGCTGGCTTTCCTATGTATTCAATGAGTATATGCCATGCGATACGGATTAATAATCATATAATTTTTCTAAGCTTGGTTCTTCAAATGCATCAGTGAAATTTGAATTGCCCATAAAGACAGTCAAAACTGCAATTACACTTATTGAGCTCACACAATCTGATGTGCTACAGATGATGTGTGACCAAAAATTGTGGACACTCCATTGACACACTCTTTTAGTGCTACAGTCTATGCGTCCAATTATGCAAAATTAATAACTATAATTATAATGGCAGGCTTCGAAAAGATATTCAATGACAATAAGTCCTATGATACGCATTAATCATGATATAATTTCGGCAAGTTCAGTTTCAATGAATGTTTGAGTGCATCAGTTAATATCGATTGGCCGATAAAGGCAGTCAAAACTGCAATTATACTTATGGAGCTCACCTAATCTGACACACTACAGATGTGGTGTTACCAAAAATTGTGGATGCTGCGTTGACGTTTATATATAGTTGTGCAGTCTATGCGTCATATCGTGCAATCACAATAGATATGATTGTAACGATCAGCTTTCAGGGTTATTCAATCAGAATATGCCATGCAATACCGATTAATCTTCATTTAATTTTCCCAAACTGAGTATGAAATTTTTCTTGAGTGCATTAGTATAAATTGATTCGTTGGTAAGGGCAGTGAAAATTGCAATTAAACTAATGGAGCTCATACAATCTGGCCCACTAGAGATGTTGTGAGCCCAAAAACCCTTGACGCTCCGTTGACGCTCACTTTTGATCCTGCAGTCTACGTGTTAGGTTGTGAGAATGACGTGAATTTGATTATATTAGCGGGCTTTCATACATATTCGAAAAGAATACCCATTGCGATTATATATAAGCTGTTGAACTACCTGTTTAAATTTGCCTTTTATAAAAGGTATAATGGCACTACTATTTGATATTTTATGGACAGTTCGCAAAGCTATTGAAAAATAGTTTTTTAGTATTATTGCACTTACTACCGGCTTTACACTGTATAAAGATAATGAAGTATGTTTGTATTATATATAGTACACTGTTGTCATCCAGCCGGTTGTGCACATTATTCAAGGTCATCCTAAGGACTGTGTGAGATCGCCATCATGTGTACAGAGCCTGAGTGGCAGGGTATGCAGTTGGAGTTTCATTTGAATTAGGTATGACGTTGGTCTTGCAACTTGATTGGGTATGCAATCAGACGATCGGGAAAAAATCCAAGTCACGCCCATGATGTACATAGGCCAGGGGCACATCGGTCGCTTCAGACGAAACCACTTGAGCCTCGTCGTAGAGTGGCACTGCACGTGCGTATATACGACCCCTCGTGTTGCGCTCGCACCTCCTGACGTAATATTTCTGACTGACGCAGCCATACAGTGCACTCACATCATACAGACACAGTATCGCTTACTGACGCTGCCGTGCAGTGCACTCATATCCTACTCACGCAGTATCTCTTACCGACGCTGCCATACAGTGTGCACATCTATTGATCTACAATACAAATTACATGATGCCTGAGTGCAATGCACACCATGTCACAACGCAGTATGCACTGCATGAGACGATTATACGATACCCTAAATTTCATTCACATCTCAGGTGACGGATACAGTGCAGTTTGCATGATGTTCGATATCAAAGTCCAATTAATACAGATTCCCGTTCCAAATGCCTCACGTTCTAAATGCTATTCTACACGTCGCAGCCAGCTTCAAGCACATCCTCTCATCTACTCTCTCCTTTGCAGTTATCCACCAACTCCGACTCTGCACCGTTGTCCTCATTCTCATTCTCATTCTCATTCTCATTCTCATTTTCATTCTCATCCTTGTCCTCATCCTCGTCCTAATCCACCTCAATCTCGACATCATCATCCTGCTGCAGGCCACGGTGTCACTGCCCACGACTCCTGGCACTGTGAATGTCATCATGATCATTGTCTTTATCATTGTTGCCATCTTCAACCGCATTCTCTGAATCTAAATACAAATCTTTGGCAATGGGAATACTGATCGCTGAAATGATCAGAGTCTCAATGTCCGGCTCCATCATTAGAGCTTACATCTCAGACTTGTTTAACACCACCCAACGCGGTTTGATAGCCGCGGAAGGCGTGTTATTTGCTCCTGTCTCACGTAGAATCCGGTTGTTGGGAGCCGTCGGTATGGATTTGATTACATTCTGTCTCAATGGAGACGGGAGATAATTCCAAATATTCATGAGATCAGTATAAATCTCTGCAAAATGTTACAGCAATTATATACATTGTGAAAGCCATACTTACCGCCGTCATCATC